AGAGAGGGGGCAGAGGGCGGCGCCATGCGTTCACCAGCGTCTCGCACCTGTTGTCTGCTGTGACCACACGTGCGGGCGACCCCGGGAGCTGCAGCTAAACAGGCGAGCAGTGTAATTAATCCATTGTTTAGCATTATTGGAGCTCACTGCTGCACGGATTCTTCCTGGCAGTTCTCCCAGCCCCACACGGGAGGTTGGGAGGTTCGTCAGCCTGACGGTGGTGGTGGTGGTGGTGGTGGTGGAAGGAGCAGCAGGGAGGGAGCAGGGAGGGAGCTTGGAAGGATTGAGACATCAGGTCCAGGGAAAGAATCCCCCCCTTTCCCCCAAGGAGGGACACTGCGTAGCTCTCCTCACCCCCCGCCCCCACTTCCGACAGCTAGGAAGTCGGTTGTCTGCCTCCTGCTGAGAAAGCTGGTTTCCACCTTGGTCCTTGGAGACCGGCTGAGCTGTGGATACTGAGTGGTTGAGGTTTGCCCAGAGGCCGGGCCGCTTCCTGCTGCCTGGCTTCTCCGCTGGTGTGTGGTCAGCGGCTTTCCCTGACATAAGTGCCCCAAGCATCATGACACGATCTTAATGGCCTCACCTGGGGGTAAGAGGCACCATTTTCACAGTTCTTACTAAGCACCAGGCACTGGTGTAAGTACGAGGCTTCTATTATATCATTGAATCTTTACAACATCCCTACATAGGTAGGCGCTCTCTGCATCCCCATTTTACAGATGGGGTCAGACACACAGAGACACTAAGTCACTTCCCCAAAGTAGCACAGCTAATAAGCAGTAGAGGCAGGATTCAAACACAGAGTCTGGCTTCAGAGCCTGTGCACCCAACCTCTACAGGTACCATCCCTGCCTGGGACCGTGGTTCCTGGGTCATACGCCTAGCAGCAGTGGGGCATGAACAGTTTTTCTTGGTATCTTGATCCTTGCATCCACCTGCCAGAGGACATTTCCATTTCTGTCCCATGGATTCAGGTTACCTTTAGAGGGGCCTGGGAGTTTGCATTTTTTTAATGTTTATTTATTTTGAGTGTGTGTGTGTGTGTGTGTGTGTGCCAGCAGGGGAGAGGCAGAGAGAGGGGGAGAGAAAGAATCCCAAGCAGGCTCTGCACTGAGGGCACAGAACCTGACTTGGGGCTCAAACTCACAAACCATGAGATCATGACCTGAGCTGAAATCAAGTGTCAGACGCTTAGGCAACTGAGCCGCCCAGGCAACCCTAAGAGTTTGCATTTTTAACCAGCACTCGGCATACCTTTCGTGAGTTAGTCTGTTTAGGAGGTCCTGGAGATACGGGATTACTTCAGCGCAGTGGTTCTCAAACAGGTGTGAAGAATAAACCACCACCATGGAGGTTACTGACGGCACTGCCAACCCCTCCAGCCCCCACATTTCTGGTTTTAGACCCACTGGTTGGGTTTTCTCACCCCCTCACTTTCGTGGATAAGGTAAGACTGCAGACCTCTTCGTTCCATCCCACTGCTCCTTAATCAGATGGTTATTGCATTGCCGGGGCTGGCTCTTGCTGGCTCTTAGCAGCGTGCAGCCGCACCAGTCAGTACAGCGAAGGAGGCTTTTTTGCTTCCGTGAACCCATGGGGACAGTGGATGGTGCCTTCCTTTCTCTCCCGACTCCGGCACACTGAGAGGAGGAAAGCACATTCCTGGAACTGGACATCATCAGAGAATAAAACAGATGACCCAAGTTGGAAACCTATATACGGTCAAACCTTGGATTGTGAGTAACTTGTTCTCCGAGGATTCCGCAAGACGAGCAAACATTTCTAATAAATTTTAACTTGATAAACGAGCGATGTCTTGCAACGCTAGTGGTGTGTGATGACGAATGTCACATGATCACAACTGAGCCAATGTTGTCTCTCTTTCTCTCTCTCTCTCGCTGCAGGAGTGTGGGCGATTGTCTCCTATGCTCGGATGCTCCATCTCAGGCCGTGGCATTTGGCAGAAATCAGTGATTTTTCAGAACGTTGGAAGGTACCCACAGCGGCACTAGTATATTTCTTGTCACTTCAAAGCGCCTACGGCCAGTCCTTTGCTTTTCCATCCAAGAGTGAGCTCAGGAATGCTTTGCTTCATTCCAGGTCAGGCTGCCTGCAGATACAGACCCTTTCCTCGGCTGCCTCATTGCCAGTTACATTAACTACAGTCTGTGACAACAGTTTATTAATACTGTACTGTGGTCAATATCTATGCGAGCGTATACGGTGACCCCATGCAGAAAAGTATTCCATGGAGCCTACAGACAGCAGTGACTCCGTTAGTGATAGTGGAAGTCGTCCTACACATTAACCCTCCTCTCCCATGTCTCCCTCACACCAGTCATGAAGGTTTTCAGAGGTAAGTGCAGGTTAATGTGTTCATTTTTCTTTACGTTTTGTATTTTCTTTATGATTCTGTATTATATTACAGTACTGCACTCATTTTTTTTTTATTTTTATTTTTTTTATTTTTTTTTTCAACGTTTATTTATTTTTTGGGACAGAGAGAGACAGAGCATGAACGGGGGAGGGGCAGAGAGAGAGGGAGACACACAGAATCGGAAACAGGCTCCAGGCTCCGAGCCGTCCGCCCAGAGCCCGACACGGGGCTCGAACCCACGGACCGCGAGATCGCGACCTGGCTGAAGTCGGGCGCTTAACCGACTGCGCCACCCAGGCGCCCCAGTACTGTACTCATTTTTATATGAATATTTTTGGGTGGTGGAGCACACATCTGAGTTTCCATTATTTCTTATGGGGAGATTCGCTTTGATATACAAGTGCTTTGGATTACAAGCATGTCTTTGGAACAAATTATGCTCTCAAACCAAGTTTTTAACATATGTGTATGTTACCTATATATACATATATGTACGTATATACTTGCAAAGCCGTGACTCTTAGCTTGGGAGGCCAGGCCAATGAGTTGTTTTCTGAGTTAAGTGCCAGAAAGGGAAGTCCTTGGTGGTAATGCTAATTAAAACTAGCCCTTGGGATAGGACGGAGGAGTCCAAGCCTCCGTATACAACTGGTTAAAACAAGTCCCATTGTTTGTTGGTTAGGAAGGTGTCTTCAGTTAGGTCCAGCGACGGGGCTGGCATCCCGGCTTCAGTTCTGATACCTCCTGGGCAAATACAAGTATAGATCAAAAATCATCCTCTTACAACTTGCTGGGGCTGCTGGAATGACCCAAGTCTGCTCCCTGAGGTCACTTTGCGCCCCTCCTGGGCTGCGTGGCTCAGCCACCAGCAGCACATTGGAAAGAAGGGCAGCCGATCCCAGGTCTTTGCAGGCCCGGCCTGGGGGTGATCCTTCCCTAGCTACAGGCAGACCAAAGCACACTTTCCGGGTGCAAAATTTAAGGAGGCACACAGTCTCAGGGTTCTGCAAGTACAGGGTCAAGCCTTGAGAATAAGTACCTCCTTAAGTTTTGCACTGGCCTCTGTCTAAGTCCCACTGTCTTCCAGGCTGTAAGGGAGGATGTTTTCAGTGTGTGGGTCCAGCTAGAAACGTTCTCACTGGATGAACTATGGTTTCACTCCCTCCGGATCCATGCGATTTCCAGTTGTTCTTGGTTCCTCCGTGGTAGAAATGAATAGGGGGTGTTTCCTGGGACCAAGAGAAGAGAGTGGGAAGGCATGCATCTCAGAGTGTGTCAGATTTTGTTTTTAATTTTTTAAGTTTATTTATTTGTTTTGAGCAGGGGCAGGGAGAAGCAGAGAGAGAATCCCAAACAGGTTTCCCACTGTCCGCACAGAGCTTGACACGGGGCTTGAACTCACAACCTGTGAGATCATGACGTGAGCCAAAGCCGAGAGCTAGACGCTCAACCAGCTGAGCCACCCAGGCACCCCAAGGTGTGTCAGCTTTTGACCACGATCTACCTAGTTCCGTGGATTTTACTCATGGCCAGGCCACAGCCGTAGAGGAAGTCTGTCCCATTACAGGGCTGACCTGAGGATTCTCTTGCTGTTCCCTCCGGGCAGAAACATTTTGTTTCAGGAGACGTTTATTTGAAGTCTCGGGCCACGCAGAAATTAGTCCTATCAGAACTTACCTATAGGATTCTCCCGGCCGGTCATAAAATAGCACCAGCTGGACAAGTGTAGGAAAATAGTTTCCTGACTCCCGTTTCCTCAGTGTGGCTCCTTTTACAGTTTCCAGAAAAGCACTTGAGCCCAATCCCAGGTACGCTAATTCGCAGGTAGACACGGGCCTCTGACGGTCTTCACGAGCCACCGAATCTTGCATGCCCCTGACTCTGCGTTGAATTGAGCCCCCACCATCCTGTTCTATTTTTTTTTTTAATTTTTTAATGCTTATTTTTGAGAGAGAGAGAGAGACAGAGCGCAAGCGGGGGAGGGGCAGAGAGAGAGGGAGACACAGAATGCGAAGCAGGCTCCAGGCTCCGAGCTGTCAGCACAGAGGCCGATGTGGGGCTTGAACTCATGAACTGTGAGATCATGACCTGAGCTGAACTCGGATGCTTAACCCACAGAGAGCCACCCAGGCACCCCCATCCCGTTCTATTTTGAATGGCCTGTCATGAAGGCCAGCCGGTGTGGACAACCGTCTTGGTCCCAGTGGTTATGCCTCTCACCCAACACATTGAGCCAGGGCTGACTCATGATCATATCTTCATCCGGAGAAGAAGCAGTCATTCCTGTGTAATTGAAATTGTCCTTGTTGGTCTACCTGGCAATTTTCAGCTGTTTCTTCTTGTTCCATCCTTCAAAGACACAGGGAGGAGCCAGCCACCAGCCGCTCAGTAACAAGCCTTCTTGTGGGGCATCTGAAAGACACCCGGGAAAGTGCAGGGTTAATGTGAGAGCCTCATTCCGATTCATTCATGCAAGGACCTCAGGAAGTTTTGTTGTTGAATTTTTTCCCGAACATCAACTATGCATAATGAAGTCAGTGCAGGATGGGCTTTAAGCCCAAATTCACTTGCTTTGGGATTCGTCACTCAGGCTCCTATATTAAATTCACCTTGGGGTCTATGGTAAATTTTATTAAATGTGACTTTCCTCTTTACGGCTAGCATAAACATTTATTATACATCCTGTGATATATGTTTCCAGGAAGTAAGGAAATGCAGTTGTGGAAAGATATGATTCCCAACTGATTTGAAATATAGACGAATAGCATGTTTTAGAAAGGGGCCGGAACTTTAATGGAAAAAAGTAGTTATCAGATTTTTTTCCTTGGCTTTCTCTGTCTTCTCTTCTGGCACCAGTTAAAGGAACATTTCTCAGCCCTTCTCCCCATGCACACAAAAGATGATACCTGATATGAAATGCTGTGAAATCCTGCTTCATTAAAGCCCACAAAAGCTAATGCACAGCTCCCCTCACACTGCCCTAAAATGGGAACAAAGAGGCAGAGTAATGTCAAAATAGAACACAAAGGAAAAGAGTTTGTCCTCTGGGCCCGGGAGATGAAAGATATCAGGAATCATCCGTGAATGTTGGGCTGGGCCGATGTTTCTAGGGCTCATTTCGTGGATGATGGGGGATTGTCAGACCGGGCAGCCCGTGTAAACACAGCAAGGGTGCGGGCAAGGCGCTCCAACAAGGGCCCAGGCAGTGTTCCTGTTAACAGTTCGGTCACCGGCAACAAGAAGGACTATGTGTGTCAGGATAGGGACAGATGACCAATCAGGGCAGACAGACTTCCGCTCACTTGCTGCGCGACAGAATACCCCCCGAACAGCAGTGTCGTCTAGGGAGCTTGGTTGGGGGACCAAGGAAACAGGCAGTTTCGGGCCGTGTTCTGGGTTCTTCAAGGGAAGTGGCTGTAAGAGAAAGCACATCCTCTAAGAAGCCGTGTCGCTGCTGGTAGCATAAACAACCCTGAAGACCAAGCCACTTGGCTTCGTGGCTTTACTAATGGTGGGTGGTAGATCACGGATGGGGTTGGTGCATTCCATCAGGTCAGAACACGACCCCTGGAAAGGTGAGCGGGCAGATTCCGAGTAACCTCGTCGGCACCACCAAGGAATGGTAGAGCTACGGTTTGAAATCGAGCACGATGGGACACAGTTATACAATACTGTCCGTAAAAGCAGTGACAGAACACAGCCTGGACCCTTTCCACCAGCCTGTATTGCCGCCTCACTTAGACTCCCGGACGCCCCTTCAACCTTCTTCCTCTTGCAGTATTCTACCATCCACAGCTAAAGCCAGTTCCTAGGTGCTGGCCCTGGACCCCGTGAGGAGAGAAACGATGAGGGCTGGACAGCCACTGGGATCCTAGCTTCTCTGCTTGGCAAGTGAGGCCGTGTCTTCCTTGGATTACTCAACGCCAAGCCAGAAACAAGTATTTGAGAAAGGGTAGTTCTGGGGAGGGGGGGAGGGGAGTGATTCCAGAGGGCAAGAGTGGGGGAGGGGGAGAGTGGAGACAGGGATGGAGAGAAAGTCAATACAAGGGAGCATTATCAGGGCCTAGATCTTCCAGGGCTTCCTAAGAAGCATATAGAATGCCTCCCAAAAATGTCTCCTAAAAGATGGGAGGCAGGAACATTAGTTCCCTGGCTCCCATCCGGCCGAGGGCTAGCCCTGAACTTCTGAGCTGTGCCTGCAGTGGCCTGGGACTCATAAGTGCCTTGGGGCAGAGAGCAAAGGCACGGTGCTCATTCTTGGTGACGCTCATGAGCCTCGGCTGACCTTGAACTGTCCACCCCGGTCACCGTTAGAATCAGAGACTGTGACCAATAGGACGTGTGACAGGGCACCAGGCACATGGACTATAGGAAGTGTGTCTGCAGCACGAGGAGATAATATGCTACCACAGGGGAGCCAAAAACTGAAGGGAGCTTGGACAAAAGTCCTCTCGGCAAATAAGCTGATCTGGGAGGATTCAAACTGACAGAAGTAAGAAGAGCTAGGGAGGGTTGCTGGGAGTTGGGTGGGGGATACTGTCAGGGAAAAGGGCAGAAGTCCTTCTGGATACCCAGCATCCTGTGCATTATAATGCACTTGAGCCCTGACCCAACAGAGTCCTCAACATGAGGTCATAAAGGAGGTGAGACCATACTTTAATGAGATTTTCTGGTTCCAACCTTAATAAACCTCTGTGGGTAGGGACCAGGATGGCCTACATAGTATTGATTTGGGGGCTACGGCAGGGTCATGCCTTTGTGAGAGTATTTAGAAAGCTTGCAGTGCAAGGAATGGGGTGTCGGGAAACAGGGAAGGCTTGGACCAGAATCCTGATTAGACTTTTGGAGCTATTTGCCCTACAAAGCTAGAGTCTAGACATTGCTGCTTCTCCCTGCCACAGAGCACGCTGGGAACAGTTGAGGGTCTGTGAGGTGCTGCAAACTCAAACTTGCAAAAAGAAAGGAAACGTCCCTCGTGC